ACAAGATACGAGGTCATTTCTTAATTATTGATATTTTTTAAAATATAAGCTCATCCCGATGTTATGCTCATTAAGAGCTTTCATTTGAGTACCAACATGCATTTTGATATATTTTTCATAAAAAACACATATATAATATATATAAATATATGAAAAATTGATGTGGGTACTCAAATGAAAGGTCTCGATGAGCGTAACATCGGGATGAGCTTATATCTTTAAAAATGTCAATATTTCAAAAGATAAAAAGTAATTTCTTTGTTATGTATCTAGAGACACAAAATTTTTCTTATTCTCTCAATAATTTAGATGAAATAATTAATTCTTTATTACTTTTATATTTTATTGTAAACCCGTAATTTTCAGTAATTGATCAAAGGATTAATAAATTTTAAATGTTAATAAACATTTTTTTTTCTTCGACCTTTTAAGTGCGTAAAAACCCCGCTATATTTTTAACAGTGTAGTCACAATTAAACGGAAAACTATTATCATTATTTAACAAATAAAAAAAATAATAATAATGTTTCTTTGAAATGCTGAATATAAATCGTAATAAAAGAGTTAAAGAAAGAAAAATAATAAATAAGTAAATAGTTGACAAGTTGAAAAGATATCCTTGAGAGAAATATTGAAGATGCACAGACAGAAATGACAAAGCGAGCAGCGATCTCGAGACAACATGCACAAAAACGTTTGCCGATGACATCCAGCTTTGATAGTAAGGGTAGACTTCTTGCTTGTCCTTTTAACAGGGTGACTCTGATGCTGAGAGCGACACTGGATTTATGAAAACCTACCGGATGAAACGATCTGCTGCGGCTTCGTGTCTTTCTAACTGCGCTAGTCGTGATAAGGGTACATCTGCTGTGAGTAATGCATCCATTGTTGTCAATTTATTTTCCTTATTTTTCAATTCTTACCACCATTATCATAATCCTTAACTTTTGCATCCTGTAAATAGTAAATAATAATAATCAAACTAATATTTTGTAATTATAAATTCTCAGAAACTTTAACAGCAAGTTTATATTTTAGTCATATATAAAAATGTTGTCATGAATTTAATATTTTCATCTTTACTTACATTACCTCTTCTCTTCTCTTGCTCTACTCGGTAATGCCGAGAATATGCATGAGTAAAAAATCCATCACGCAAATTGAAAATATCGAGGAAAAAAGTTTTAAACTTTAGATTTGTTTACATTTCATGCATAAAAATTTTCACATGAATCAATGGGCTTAGTATGTACGTTGCGGCATATATACCGTCGAAAGTCATTTTAACATTTAAATATTTACTCAAACTTTTTCACTCCAAACTCGCCCTTTTCTCTTTTAAGTCAAGCTAATTTATTTTTAGCCGCAACATTTTTACGCCTTCTTTTATAATTAATCATTTTTATTAACAATTATTACATTAGTTCCTCGTACCTCGTGTATCTGCTTAATTAACGCTGAATGCTTTTTGTATTGTTACGGAACCCGCTGTAAGCTTTGTTTTATAATTAATAATTTTAATTATAACTATAATTAATCAAGCAGTATTATTCTACTTCAATATTTTTAATTAAAAGAACACATTTTTCTGTGATTAAAAATTTTAATCGAATTATTTTTTGTAACGCTTCAATAGATTTTTTTGAGAAATTCAATGTTGTTAATCAATAATAGTAATTTTAATTTTCTCGTTAACAAAATTTGTATGTATATAAAAATTAGGTACTAAAAATATATTTCATGTATTAATTAATTAGTTAATGTAATATTAATAAATAAATTAATTTTTTACTGGCAACCTTGCAGTCACTATGTGACTGCCGTGACTTGTGAACTATAAATAAATAAAATTTTGCTTTATTAAATAATGACTTTTGTTAAATTGCACTGTACTTCTTCAAATATTGACGTTTTTAAAGATATAAGCTCATTCCGGTGTTACACTCATCAAGAGCTTTCATTGGAGTACCCACATGCATTTTGATATATTTTTTATATGTACATATATATAAATATATGAAATATATAAAAAATTGATGTGGGTACTCAAATGAAAGGTCTTGATGAGTGTAACATCGGGATGAGCTTATATCTGTAAAAATGTCAACATTCCACAAGATACAAGGTCATTTCTTAATTATTGATATTTTTAAAGATTTGAGCTCATCCTGATATTACACTCATCGAGACCTTTCATTTGAGTACCCACATCAAGTTTTCATATATTTTTCATATATACATATATATAATATATATAAATATATGAAAAATTGATGTGGGTACTCAAATAAAAGGTCTCGATGAGTGTATCATCGGGATGAGCTTATATCTTCAAAAATGTCAATAGTTCACGAGATACAAGGACATTTCTTAATTATTATATTACTCATTCTTTTAAAAATAAAGTTTTCTATTTGTAACCATGCCAATTATAACTATACCCAAAAATCTCAAAAATGTGCTCTTTTTACCCAAAAAAAGAATTTAAAATTCTATAGTTAGCTCTCCAAAAAAATGATCCTAAACCCAAAAAAATTGTTCCAGTACTCGGTGAGCCTAGCAGACGAAGCGCGAGACAACCATTCGCAGCAGATAGAGCGTGCGGAGATAGCAAACTTGGTCCGTTCAAGAATGGAGTCGTTGAACCTGCCAACAGTGGACTACGACGACGTGTCGGAGAAGCGCAATAGCCTTTCGTACGTGATAATAAACCCGAGCTGCGACCTGAAGCTGGAGGAGGGTGACATCGTGTACCTGGTGCGCCCTAGCCCGTTTTCAGCGCAGAAAACCTTCGAGAGACACAACTCGCGAAGAAAGAGCAACATAAGCTTCTGCTCGGCGCAGCTGGTGGCGCAGATGTCGGCAGCCGCAGGAGGTGGCGCTGGGGGCGGTGGCGGCGGGGGCTCCAGTCGCCGGGGCTCGGGAATCGGTATGGCTAGAGCACCACCTCTCGGCAGCAGCAGCAAGTCGAACTCGCTCTCCTTACCGGACAGTCCCACCGTAGCCGGTGGCCTGAGGGGCCGTTCAAACTCGCTGCGCGTGGTCGACGACATTCTCCTGAGGCGGAGCAACTCGCTCCGTCAGGGATTCACCACGCGGCGAAAGAGCAGCCTGGAGGACATCGGTTTCGGTGGACTGTCCCATCCGACCAATCACAACCCGATAAAGATAGCGCTGAATGGGTCCATCGGGTTGGAGGTGACACCTCCCGAGGAAGGCAGCGTCGGGGCCAGTCCTGGTGCAAGCAACACCGGGATCCTCGAGGTTGGGCTGCCTTCGATACCGGTGATGAGTCCTGGCTACGGTTGTGGTCTTGGTGGCATGAGTGGCGTGAGTGGCGGCGCTCTGGGCGCGGGATTAGGCGGCTCTCTGGGCGGCTTGTACGATCCGCCGATACTCGGCCTCGCTCCTAAATCCTCCGGCCCAAGGGAACAGGCCTCCCAGGATCCGCAACACCTACAGGGAACAATCGTATGATATAACCTCATGTGGGGACGCAGACTTTCTAGTGTTGTGAGAAATAAGTGGCTGTAGCGTTCCCACATGTAGATTTATAGCACGTTAGTTAGGATAGGTTAAGGGATTTAGTTGCCATTTTATTCATTTGTTGCTGGTCTTACGGCTCTTTTAAGCCTTAATAAGCTGGAATATTTTGGGGATGTCTGAAGAAATATTGCTTTATTAAATAATGACTTTTGTTAAATTGCATTGTACTTTTTTTAATATTGACATTTTTAAAGATATAAGCTCATCCTGATGTTACACTCATCAGGAGCTTTCATTTGAGTACCTACATGCATTTTCATATATTTTTCATATATTTATATATATAATATATATAAATATATGAAAAATTGATGTGGGTACTCAAATGAAAGGTCTCGATGAGTTTAATGTCGGGATGAGCTTATATCTTTAAAAATGTCAGTAGTTCACAAGATACAAGGTCATTTCTTAATTAGGTATCTAGAGATAGAGCATTTTTGAATGCAGCCTAAATACTTATCTTAAATTGACTATCGGTGAAAATTATATGAAACCTTGAAAAGACACAAATTCAAGTCAAGACTTTTTCAATGACATCAAATTTCACTAAAAAAAACCGATTTTATTATATGACTATCCTGGCCACAAAATTTTGCCTACTTTCTTAATAATATAGATTACAAAAATAATCTTGGGTCAGATAAAATAATTTTTGTTACAAAATTTTAATTATAAAACTGGATTGTTCTAATGTAGCTTCATAAAACTATCAGTTTAAATTTCTTCAGATAATTCTCCCAAAAATATTCAAACCTAAAACCAGCATCGACCACTTGAGGTTTATTTTCATACAAAATGGACGCTTGGAAACTTAAAATGGAAGTCCAATAAAGAACTAAAGAACTAACCCGGCTCGGAGGCCACTCTGCCGGTAGTAGAGAGTCCCGCGAGGTGGTGCTCATAACTACCCGCGTCCTGGACGACGAATTTTTTATATAATAATTTATATAACCACTACCGTAGTTTTAATGAAGAAATATTTCTAATAATTGATTGTAAAAAATGAACAATTGCTTTTTTTGTCTTTTAAATTGAAGGTTTATTCTAAATAAAAAATAATTTTTATTTTTTATAGTCAATTATTGGAAATAAATATATGTACTTATATGTAATAGCGCGAGTTATATATTATAAAAATATGTTTAAGTATAATTAAAACTATGAATATTACTAATATTATTAATGAAGAATATAGGATAATATAATTTCGTACTAGGAATGAAGAATATGTGTGAATAAATTAAAATACATATATACGTACATAAATATAAATTAATATGTTGATGAATGAATATATTTAGAATCATATCACGTGAGCCTGGAGTTTGCGTATATCACTGTTTATTAGTTAAAAGAAGAATAATATCTCAATTATTTATTATAATTATTCGTGGATTGATAAATTTTCTATTTAAATATTCTCGAAATGTGATTAGGGATGTATAATATCAATTTAGTAATTTAATATAACAATTATCAATATATTTAAAAATATGTAGCGATAAATTTAAATTTTTTTTATTAATTATATTAGTTTATAATAAAAATAGCAAATTATAAAAAATAATAAATTGAAGAAATTTCTTAACTTTTTTTTTTTCTTAATTTAAAAATTTGCTATTTTTATTATTAATTTTTAACTTCACACTTATCTAAAATTAAAGAATCTCATTGAAATTTTTATTAACAATTTAGCAAAGTTCTAATATTTAAAATATTTTTTTTACATTAAGTTTAATTTAGTAAATTTTTAAAAGTTAAAAATCAATTATTGAAACAATCAAATATTTTATCAGCTGTTAAAGCGGCTTTAATCACAAAAAAATATTTTAAGTTAAGCACAAATTTGTTGACAATCTGTTTAAAGAAAACTAGCAACCTTGCAGTCACTATGTGACTGCTGTGACTTGTGAACTATAAAAAAATTAAAATTTTGCTTCATTAAATAATGACTTTTGTTAAATTGTACTATAGTTTCTTAAATATTGACGTTTTTGAAGATATAAGCTCATCTCGATGTTACACTCATCAAGAGCTTTTATTTGAGTACCTACATGCATTTTTATATATTTTTCATATATAAATATATATAATATGTATAAAATATATGAAAAATTGATGTGGGTTCTCGAATGAAAGGTCTCAATGAGTGTAATGTCCGGGTAAGCTTATATCTTTAAAAATGTCAATATTTCACAAGATAAAAGGTAATTTCTTAATTATTGACCTTTTTAAAGATATAAGCTCATCCCGATGTTACACTCATCAAGAGCTTTCATTTGAGTACCCACATGCATTTTTGATATATTTTTCATATATACATATATACAATATATATAAATATATGAAAAGTTGATGTGGGTACTCAAATGAAAGGCCTCGATGAGTGTA